TTGGATGTATACCTGGAGGAGTGGGCAACTCTTCAAAGTCTATAACTTTTCCTTTTTTGAAGTCTTTGATTGCATTTTCGTATTGTTTAACAATTCTTCCCAAACGTCGAGATTTACTGCCATTATTTTCTTCGTTGGCCTGACTTAATGTGGATTTAAATTTGGCTAATCTTTGTTCCAACGCTTCCATAACAGTGTTGGGCGGCGGCGGAGCGTTGAAGAATTTCTTAGCGTCTTCTGTAGTCAACTCAACGTTATTGACAGCAGTTTCGAAATCAGTTTCTTCGTTAGCTTTTGTTTCATCAGAACCTAATTGTTTGGGAGTTTGAGCAGCGGTTGAAGTGCCAGTTGAAGGGGTCGGCGATGGGAGGGCTGTGGGCGGAGGCGGCAAATGAGACAAATCAACGGCTTTTCCTTCTTCTACAGCATTAATTAGAACTTCGATTTGCTATCAATAATAGAAATTCGTAAATAAATGCAAAATCTAATCAAAAGTTAAATTTAAAACCTTTGCTGTTTTAATGTGCGATAAAGCAGTGGTCGCTTGTCCTGCCTTTTTGGCCACGAGAGCAGCCCTTTTGTATTCATCTTTCAGTGTATTTAATTTCAAAACAGTATTTTTATCGCCAGTTTGTTTCGATTGGTTGGAAGCGATGTCTGCACTCATCACACTTTGAATCGCTTCAGTTTTTGGACCACTTTCGATACTATTTGTCGGATAATTTTTGGGTGTTTTGTCCACTATTTGTGGATTAATTGATGTCTGCATTCGTATAGTATTTATTTCTGGTATTCGGGAATCGATTGGTTGTCGAGTTTTATATTCACTTTTATTCGGCGATTTATTCTTTGCCGAAGACGTGTCCTCCGAAACAATGGAATTAATTTCCGACTGAAAGCAGAAATCATTTTTTGATACTTTTTATAAAAACTAATAACAAATTTTTTATATTCACTTTTATTCGGCGATTTATTCTTTGCCGAAGACGTGTCCTCCGAAACAATGGAATTAATTTCCGACTGAAAGCAGAAATCATTTTTTGATACTTTTTATAAAAACTAATAACAAATAAATAAATACCAAAAATTGTTCGTCATTTTCATCGATGTCTGAGTCGTTGTCATCAAAGTCTTCAATAATTCCCAATTTGTCAATATTTAGTAAATCGTTGGAACCGTTGGCACCGATCACTGAAATACACATTTAGTGATAAATTGTGTTAAAATGCAATTGAATTAAACAAATCATACATTGATTGGTGTTTTGAGAGGATTTGTGGCGAGTGTTGGATGTGTTGTGACTTTTAATCTGTTTTGAATCCATTTGTTTGACGCGCTTAGTGTTGACCGCCGATGAAGTGGTCGTCTGTTTATTCTTCGGTACATATGTTTTGCCACTTAATATGGCATTCAATTCGTCGTCCAACTGGTCCTCGTCCTCATCGGTGTCGTCAATGTCTTCATTGCCGACATTGTGTCCCAATTTGCTTAAGAAATCCATGTTTTGTAAATCCATGACAAATGTTGTGAATGACTGCCAATGAATGCAATGCTAAAGTAGTGTCACAACCATTACATCACATGTTTTCAAAACAACAGTTACTGTGAGTTAGGGTTCACTCCATCTCTCAGTCCCACAAATACTCCTCAAAAGCACTCAAATTACGTCCAATAATACACTTTCACTCAAATATTGCATTCATATTGAAGTTTCCTAAACCTAACTATTATTAACCCTAATTAGTGGTCAAATGGTTATAATTATTAAACTTTTATTATTATTATTATTATTTTGAATATATTTTCACAATTTATCAAAAATATAATACAAAAGCATAAAAATGTATTTATTAATAAGGTTACAATATTGTAAACATATGGCCATTTTGTTAGATATACAAATTATAGTAAATAATTCAATTTTAAATATTATTTTAATGTACAAGAAATTGATTTAGTTTTCATACCGATAGTGTCACTGGAGTAAATTTGGGGTAAATTTTGTAACGTAATTTATTGTCTTTATACGTTCGAAATGATTATTTATTAATGATTAAATAGTTTTACAAATTACCACGGTTAAACATAAATCACGTCTAATTTTAACGTAATATGAAACGTCTAGGTCTATAAATACACTATTCATGGACGGTTGAAAATGCCTACTAGGAATAATTCCCACTGGGCATATTACTAGGCATATTCCATGGGAAAATTGGGAATATATATTTCGTGCCCTACCGGGCATATAATTTGGGGAGCTAATTGTGGCGAAATGGGGGGGGTGACACTATACTACTTACGCCATCTGGTGTGTGAGCTTATTGGGTGGGCACGTGACAGGCATATTCCTACTGGGAATATTCTCTTAAGGAAAAATATATTAAATGCCGCGAATTTTTCTTACCGTAATTCATGTTATGGTAAAACTGAAACGTGATTTATGTTGTTTTAATAACATGTTAATCAATAAACGTATCCTATAAATATAATTTACAAATAGTTTTTATCATTCAATGCACTGAATAATTATTAATATATAATATATAAAACTCCATTAGACTATTAGTTGATATATTGAATGCTAAAAATAGTGGAATGCATTGGTTATAGACTATAACTTATAGTAATATACAGTACTGTAGAGATGAGTCAATACAACTTTCTCCTATTATCCTGTTATATGATATACTTATTTATAAAATACAAGATTAACTTATATCGACATTTTTTAAATATTTGCCGATAAAAGTGGTCACTTCGGCCAAACCAGTGGCACATCAAGTATATCATTACATTCATTCTGTAGCCTCAGTAAAGAGTGTAATATTACATTTATTTTATATAAAATAAATTCCTTGTGGCTAATTTGATAACATCACTTGCATTTAGTAGGCTAGCTTATTAATAACAATATTTTGTAATTTAGATTACAATTAACACTAAAATATCATTAATGGTCACAGTTATAAGTTCTAACATGACTCTAATTAATGATTTACTATATTATTACAATAGTGTTAGAAAGGACTATTTTTCCAATTATTAATATACGCCGCTTATAAGCCCTAAATTAAGGTCAACAATTATGTTAACAAAACAACCTAGGTATTTTCTACATAATGAACCAACCAAATAGTTCACCCTTCAATATGAGCTTTTATACTGTAGTAATTCGGAATCGCTGTCGTGGTATCGCAGTGAACATAATAATTGATTTTAAACCTTGTTCTAATAACAGTGTATTTACTTTATTTAACATTCAATATTTACAGTAAAAAATGTTAAATTTATTGGATTTATAAAAAACATGTCTTAAATACAAGTGAATAATAATATAATGAATAATAAAGTGAATGAATGCGTGAGTTATGCAACCATTCATTGAATATATGGAAAGCATTGGTCTATAATTGATGAGAGAATGTGTGGTCAAGTGTTGTCAGTGTTTAGCGATCTTTGATTGGGGTTCGCAGTCGTGGTCGCCGTCGCTGTCGTCGCTATCAATGGTAACCACTTCTGGTTCAACACATTTCGTCGATAGAGTGTTCATATGATTGCGTTTCGCACCACAACTCACACCCAATACACCACTCGTCTTTGCTATGGCTCCATTAGTGACAAGTGATTCACTCTTCACACTCTTCTTTGCGTCCAAACAATTGTTAACCAAATGTTTGTCAAAACCATTGAGTTTTGGAGGCAAACCATTGGTCACACATTGCTTCACACCATTGGTCATGAGATCACGTGACTGTTTGATGACCGGCGTGTGAACTGACTTCACAGCGGATCCATTGCACAGTTGGGTGGTGTGAGTGGTATGAGTGGTGACCTTCAGTGAGTAGTCATTCCAAGAACCTTCTGACAGCCCTCTGGAACTGGTATTCACTTGAGTCTCTTTGGACGCAGTGTTGGGTCGAGTGGAGGCAAATGTGGTCACTCTAGCCGTCGACTCATCCCTTAATCGCTTCAATTCATCGAAAATATTGAAATTCAGGGAAAGTTCTGTCATTTGTTTCTCAAAACATTTCTTAACACAAATGCCAATCAATTGCTTCACTANTCGCCAATTTGTGGAGGCGTTGGTATAGAAGTGGCGTCGATTGGCAGTCCGTTTTGTGTCGCTTCAATCAACGGATCAAAACCTTTAGCCATCCGTAAGTACTCTTTGGCCTGTTGTAGGTCTCCCTTCTGTTTGGACTCGAGAGCCGCTTCTTTGAACATTCGCTGTCTTTCTAATAAATAATTCAATTGTTTGTTTGCCGTCGAAGACGCTCTCTTCAGGTTTGGTTTTTGTGCGGCTTTCGGTGGACTGGGACTCGCTTTCACGGCTGATGTCTCTACGCGTGTTTTATCGGGCAAATTGTTTGCACCGGTTGTAGGATTTGCTGGTTTTGGAGTGCTTTTTACAGCAGCGACAGTGGGTTCTGGAGCCTTAACCGCTGGTTTTGGGGCATTCATTGGAGGTATTGGTCCAAAACCTAATCAATAAAAAAGTAATAATTAAGTAAATTTATTATTGATTATAAATGAGTGGTTATATTTGTATTGTATGAGTTGGATGTATACCTGGAGGAGTGGGCAACTCTTCAAAGTCTATAACTTTTCCTTTTTTGAAGTCTTTGATTGCATTTTCGTATTGTTTAACAATTCTTCCCAAACGTCGAGATTTACTGCCATTATT